GGGGGGGTGCGGGTGAGACTGTCCCGGAGCCCCAGCCACACGTCCGCCAGCCACTGAAATACATGACTGCTCACATGTGCACAGGCGGACAGTATGCTGTCATCTGCTCTGGACACACCTGGGCCAGCGAGGGCGGGGGAGGAGCTGTAGGGAACAAAGGCCTCTGTTTGCTCAGACTCCCATGCGGGCTGCAGCTAAAGAAGCAGCCACACGGCGCCTCTCTCCACGCCCGCGCCCCTCCCGCCTGGGCACGGCTGGGCGTCTCCCTGCTCTCACACCTCCACTCACCTAAGGGGGGTTGTTCAGCTTCGAGATGAGAGGGTGCTTATGTACAATGGGGGGTGTACAAACCCTGTAAATAGTATATATTTTTTTTATCAGAATCTTACTCAGTCATTCATCACACACTAGTGCAAAAATTGTGCATCAAAAATTCTGCAACAGGACGGCTGACGGGCGATTTGTGGCTGCCCTGGGGCACGGAGGGCCACTGGAGTCCTGGCAGCGGCGAGGCGGGGCCAGGAGGATGGCGGAGCGTGTGCAGGTGTGTGCAGGCCGGGAAGTGTCTTCATCCAGAGAGCGTGTGTGTTTTGCAGAGTTCTTGGGTTCACGGGGCTGGAGAACCACACGCGCACAATGTGTCGTGGTGCCCCCGAGGCTGTAACCAGGCCCAGGTGCCTGGGAAGGCTCCCCGCCTCACGGACACAGGCGGTCAGAGGCATTGAGTACCGTGGGGCGGTGTGGCTGGGCGGTCTTGACCCCAAGCAGGCAAAGTCGGACATAGAGACTCCGCTGGCAGGATGAAGGGACAGGGTGGCCAGTGCTCAGAAGACTCTCCACGCTCCGTGGACACCCGCACACTCCATGGACACACCACGCGCTTTGTGGCGGTCGGGTGGCAGAGAAACGTGGAGAAGTCAGCACAACAGCTGGAGCTGCTGGGGCCATGGAGCCAGAGGGCCAGCGCCGCCCGCCCGCTGCAGGGCCCGCACCCAGCAGGACAGATGGGCAGGTGCTTGGCTGGGGAGGCGCGGCTTGGAAACGTTGAGTGTCATCCTGTGACCCCGACAGGGTTTTGTGTTAGTTTTCATGTTTCATGAAGCCCTGCATTTCAACATGCAGTGGACAAGCCAATGGGTCAGATTGAAGGAGGTGCGAGTGCCGCCACCCGAACCGGGGTCGCAGCGCCCACATTCCTGCCGGCGCCAACTCGATGGCGAGAAAGGGAAACTGGCTACCATGGAACGGGCCGTCAAAGCAAAATGATGAAAGAAGAATCGCCGTTTCAGAACACGTTTCCCATGGCGCTACGCGGAGATGAACATGGCTTTCACTCAGAGTTGGTGGCGTCCACGCGTGTGGCCGCACCTGCCAGGCCCTAGTTCTGGTTGTTCCCGCCCTGGGGGTCACACCTCCTTCATTTGTGCCTTCGCTTGTCAGTTACCAAGAATGAGCTTAAACCTGGCCAGCCCTGGCCTCCCTCCCGCCTGGGGAAGCGCGAAGCGGC